GGTTTTGCAGAAGGTATTGCAGGGGGCTTTGAAGGGGGCTGCCATAGTCGCTTCGGTGGGGATTTTTTGCTGGCTTCAGAAGAGGAGGATGGAGGAGAATCCGGTGGCAACGTTTCGAGGTAAAAACCTGCTGGCTTGGCCTTCATATGAGGCCATGGATTAATGAAGCATGGCAGCCGCTTCATTTCCTCATCTGAGGTAGCAACAAATGGCTTTTTATGAGGATTACTACTGGATGGAGCCACCTCAGCCGTAGAAGGACTTAGGGAGGACGATCTGGAAGATGATCCAGAGGAGGAGTAGTTTACCAAACCTGGGTAGGTTTTTGGATGACTTGGTTTGGTCAAAGTGCCCGTCTGCATGGCACGGCTCGACGATGAGCTCGGAGGAGAATCAGGTTTTTGATCGCCACGACCCTTCCCCATTGCAAGGCTATTCTGCAATGCCCTAATAGTGTCAAGTGGCGTGTGAGGAACCATGCCACGGGAAGTGATCGCTGGCACGGCTCGATTCGAGGCGCCTCCCGCCGGGGCAACAACCACTGGAGGCAAGGGATTCAGGAGAGCTTGAGGATCTGGTGGTGGAGATGCTGGCGAGTCCAACCCCGGAGGTGGAAAAGAGTATGGAATAATATCCCCAATAGAAAAGGACAAGGCCGCAGTTGATCCCGAAGGTTCAGCCGCCACTGAACTTAATGGTGGAATAAAAATGGTGGAATTCGATAGAAATTGGGGACTTGCCTGGGAACTCACATTATTTTGGCATGGATTTGAAGCCTCTGGCTTGGAGGAAATGGTTTGGGGAGCTGCTTGAGAAGCCACATTTTTCATAGTTAATATTGGAATAGAAGTCTCCCCAGAGTTGGACAAGGCCGGAGTTGATCCTGAAGCTCCAGCAGTATTGGCGATGACCTGGGGAGCTGCCTGGAAACCCACACTCTCAATAGTTGATTGAGGCCCAGGGTTTGTACCAGATTTCGCTCTAGTTACGATCTGAGAGGATGAAGCACGATACCCAGACTTTCCAGCTTGGGAAGAACCACCAATGTCAGCCGGAGGAGGAGGAGTAGTGCCAAGTTTCTCATGGGATTCGACCTGGGCAGCTTTAGGACCTTTCACTGGACGTTTGCGCGCCTTGGATTTTGATCGTGTACGCCGTCGAACAGCCTCCTGCTTCTTAACAATCTTTTCCTTCAATGCTCGAGTTTTCTTATTTCTACCATTCGAAGCTGCCTTCTTTTTCTCCACAACCCGAGTCTTTTTTGAAGAAGCCCGAGTCTTCTTTACAATTTTCGTGGACTCTGGCGGACAAAACTGGTTATTCTCCGCCGCCTGGCGGAGGCCCTGCCGAACGGTGCGTGGTGCAGTCAGGTTCCTGGCCGTGCCACCACTTCCCACGTCGCAGACCTCCTTCTCTACCGCCGCGGGCAGAACGCTCCGGCCTGGTTTGACGGTCCACTGCGGCAAGCGTTCCACTGGAATATTTTTATTTGATTCCTTCCTAACTTGCTTTCTTGCCACGGCCTTACGTTTTGGCTTCGAAACCGCATCCTTCTTCTTGGACGGCTTACGCTGACGGCGCTTCTTGGCCACCGGTTTCTTGGCCTCTGGTTTCTTGGCCTCTGGTTTCTTGGCCACCCGAGCACGCTTGGCCGGCCGCTTGCTGGCCGTTGGTCGGGAGCGTTTGGGTGCCCGAGCGGGAGCGGCTTTGGATGGTGGCTTTGCCGAGAGCATCTTGTGCAGACGCTCGGATCGACGAACCGGTAGCTGGGAAGCCGCAGCTTTCATACGCGTCATGGACCGCGTGTGTATGATATTTATGTCACGGGAGCTTACAACACCAGTGCTGGTCGATGGCGTGTCAGGCTCAGCACAAGTAGTGTTGCCACTCGGGGGCACAGGAACCACATCTGAATTGCAAGTCAGAGCCGCCGCATCGGCTGCGTTTCCACCCATGGGCGAAATCGCATCTGCAGCATTGCTCATTATGGGAGCAATAGAGCGAGCGGGGTTGTCACCGATGGGCAACGGAGTCGATGTAGCTGTTCTCCATCTTCGCACACCAGTAACAGCACCAGTGCTGCCACCCGTGGCCAAAGGACTGCTCCGCATGACGGCCAGATGCAGAACCCGACCAGAGCGAGCATTGCCCATCATTGGCATTCCAGAACCAGCATAGGGCACGAGAGCACCCGCAGCAGCGTTGCCAGCCAAGGTTATAGCAGCACTGCCAATCATTCGCATCCAACCAACAGCGTTGCCAGCTTGATGGCGATTGTAAAAATGCCTCGTCACTCTGCCTTGACGAAACATGGGTCTGTCGTTCCACGTGTTCTGGCTGTTCCGCCTGTTCAGCCAGCTCCTCGACCCGTCCAGGTCGTGCATCCTGCCACCCAAATGGCGGGGATTGGCGGCGAGTGCGTTGCGCATGCTGGTTACGATCGCAAAGCTTGTCTCGTCCGTGTTGGAGAGCACCGTGACACGTTTCAGTTCCCCGTACCGAACGAAATAGTGGAATAATTCTGTTGTTGGGGTGGCCAAGTCCAGGCCGGGCAGGAAAATGCTACGCAGAGTGGGCATTAGAGCCAATCGTTGATGATAATTGCCACCTAGTTCGAAGGAGGAAAAGGCCAATTTTGTTTTTGGGAGCGGAACGAGGAGGACAAAAAAAAATAACCTAACCTAATCGAAAGCTCTAGAATCCTAAGAACAAAAAACTCACCTTCGGGCTGCATGAGACGATTCATCGAATTCGAGTTATGGGTACGTTCCTGCTCCTGCTGCGGCGGCGGAGACTCTAGCGGCGGCGGCTGAGACTCCGGCGGTGAAATCGCCTCAAAGCCGCCACCAGCACTAACCTCTCCGTGGCCAGCAAGAGTCTCAAACGAACGAGATGTTCCCGCACGTGGTTCTGAATTCTCATTCGAATTTGGCATCATCTTCTCATCTTCTAAATAAAATTTTAAGGGCACAATTTTTCACAAAAAAAAAAAAAAAAAAAAACGACCAAAAAAAAAACCCCCAGAAATATTTTTTTTTTTGAAAAACTTACCATCAGATGACTGGCCTTGAACGAATATTAGACCACGAATATTAGAGCCTGATGGTTGCTCTTTTAGATTCTCTGACATTATATTTTATTTTAATTTCCACTTTATAAGTTTATTTTTTGATTTTTTTTTTTTCCCCTTCACATGTAACTCGTTGAACGACTGCCGGAAAAGTGAAAGAATATTCAGCTTCCACGTGACAGGACAAAAATCAGAGATTCAGAGTTACCATGGTAACCAAGGCACGATGGCCTAAACTTTATCTGATGCTTTTTGGCATTTTTTAGTGTCTGATTGGATTGTTGGAATTATGATTGGAATATTGGAATTGGGAAATGTTTCAAACGCTCTTAAGGGCTATCGATCTTTTTTTATTTGAAATTAATCTTAAAACTAGTTGGGTTTTAAAATTAAAATGTTTTAAGTTGGCAAGATTTAATTAAAGGTTTTTAGGTTTTTTTTGTATTTTTTTAAGGTAAAGAAATTGCTTAATGTTACAAAATTAGGGTGTAGTTAAAGATATTTGCTTTTTAAAAACTGATCTTTGGAGATCTTAAGAGAATAAGCTTCATTATATAACTAAGACAAACTTAGGCTCTGTCCAAATACTTTATTTTTCAAGCTTTTTAAACAAATATTTAGTTTTTAAAGCTTAAAAATGAAAGGAAATAATTTTTATTGGTTAAGATTAGTTATTAGTTGAATTAGGAATAAGATTTCCCGCTCCATTTCATATAAATCAAAAAAATTAATTAAAAATGTTAAATATTTTTTTAAATGCAGCCCTAATACATACATAAGTCGATGACCCCAACATCGATTACCAAAGCACGTGTTGCAAGTGCTATTTAGACACTTTTCCAACACTTGGCCCACATTATGTTAACTGAAGAATCCTCAACATAACCTTTACATTAGCTTTCAATTTTATCGATAACTATCGATAGCTTTAGTGTTGAAAAGTGTTCTTGACTTTAGTTATTTTAGCTATTTTGGGGGGTGCACTCATTTAATGTCATGAATGTTGGATTTTTCTTGGCTTTCCTTTTAATTTTCTTCAACGCCCACCACCCACTACCCCCCTGGCTTGTAAACACTTTACTAAAGAGTTCATTTCCGTTTGCCGTTTCGCATGCCACACAAAAAAAAATAAAAATAAAAAATAAAGGATAAAATCCTGGGAATATATAAAGAACACCAGAGAAATGACCACCAGAGACCCTAGAAGTGAAGACAGAAAAGTGTGGTTGCCACAAAAAAAAAAAAAACGAGGGCTTTACGTGTGTGTGGGGGGCGTGGCATGCTTAGTTAGCTTTGCCCCCTTTGACCGCAGAGAGCTCCTGGATTCAGCAGGATGCAGGATGCTGAATCCCAGAGTCCTTTTTGCTTGGCTACCCGGCAACCGGCTCCTGAATCCTGGTCATCAGGAACTCCGGTTGTCTCCGGTTCGTTTGGGGGCGCAAGATATTTAAAAATTCTTTTGTGTTTCGCTCTCCGGTTGCCGCATTTTCATTTAGTTTGCATTATGTTTTAAATTGTCGCACTTGGCGCAGGACACTCAAAGGCACTGCCAGAAAAAAGAGTGGAAAGTAACGCTCGAAGACTATTTTTTTGAGAAATTATAGAGACATTCTTTCAAATACCGATTATAATATATTTTAATTGGTAACCCTACCATCTTGTTATATTTTTTTTTTAACACTAAAAAATATATCGTACTTTTTTAATAAGACCCTTTCCAGCACTCTACTTTGTCACCCTTTCCAGCACTGACCAAACGTCAACGACGGTCTGACAGGGTAGAAGCTTCCATTTTTCTTCCTCAAACATTGTCGAGTTTTCCTGGCGACGTATATTTTGTGATCTTGGCGCTACCTTTCATTCTATTGGGAAAATGTTTTCATATTTGAAAAATCTATTCTCCAATATATTTCATTTGTCATCAAACGAAATGGAGAATAGACGTAGAATCTCTGATAATATCGTGCCCAGCGACATCATCGACTTGACTGGGGACGATGATGATGCCTCTACTACTACTAATACTAGTGGAGTTCAGCAAGTGACAAATCGGCCATGTACTTGTACTTGTCCGCTGTACGAGCAGTATAAGTGCCCGATATGCCTGATGCTGCTCACGGAACCGGTGAGCACCGCCTGCGGCCACGTTTTTTGCGATCAATGCCTGATGATGGCCCTGCACACTGGAGTACCGACTTGCCCCATCTGCAAGGCCTATATTAATACTGGCCAAGTTATTCGTATTTACATTTAGGACGTTATATTTGAAACAAATCAGCGATATGGTAGTAGCATATATTTTCAAACACTGATACTGTTGTATGTTGCAAGTCCAACAAAAGAAATTATAATGTTTAAACGTTTTTGTTTGTGTTTTTATTTAAGGTTGGTACTTGATGGATCTCGAATGAACATATATGTATATCCTTGGATTGAATGACTGGCATATTTTATATTCTCTGGTTTCTCTAGCAAAGTCCATCTCATTTTCTCTCACTGCTTTGCACTCAATGACACATACTTAATGAGGTTCCCATCTCTTTCTAGAGGAGCAGCAGTCAACCCCTTTGACCTCTGCCCCCTTAACCCCTTAACCCCTAGTGCTTCTTGGCCATTTTCAGATGCAATGCAGACATCATGGCCAAACAACTTTCATTTGCCTACACAGGATTTCCAACGAGATCCCTTGCCTGGCCGGGTTGACAAAAGACTCGGATTCGGACTCTTGGCTTTTTCTCTCTTTTTTTTTTCTTTTTACTTTTTTAATTATTTGTTTTGGTTCTCCTTAGTGGGAAATTAGTTGCGTGTTCCTCCCAAAACTAAGGAAAGAATTAAAGTAAATAATAAATAAGAAATATGAATGGTAGTGGTGGTGGGATCATAAATGGTAGAAATATTTGGGATATTAAAATAATTAAAATCAAGAGTGCCCCGCCCCATTGCTCTCCTTTGCTTCTGTTTTTGTTGGAATTTGTTGTTGCTATTTCATATCGTAAATGCAAAGTCATCGTAAAATAAACATTTTTCGTGTTCTCCCTATTTTCCTCATTCGTGCTAATCCGAATGCATTTTGTTGTTGGATTGCCGAAAACTTTTAATTGCAAGAAAAGAAAGAGAAGACATCGACATGAGAAAAAATTCTCGATCCACTGTATTGGTGAGTTTTTGCACTGGTATTGGAGTTTTGGGCACAACTGAATAAAAATTATACCAACACGCTTGGGAAATGGAAGAAAAGAAAGCTAATTCCTTGAATATTTACAAGAAGGCCGATATCGAAAAGTGATTCGAATATCCATTTAAAATTTCGGAGTATGTATGGGATGGCCTACATGGCCCCGGTCGGAGGCTATATCTTTGCCAATATTGGTCCGATTCTTAAGAGGACTGTTTTAAACGATTTGTAGAACGATTCTGCAACGATTTGCATCAAAACCTGAGGTGGAAATATTTTTTCGATTTTTTGTCAAATTTTCCGGGGTGTGCCCTTCAGAATTTCGGCAAATGTATGGGATGGCCTATATGGCCCCGGTCGGAGGCTATATCTTTGCCAATTTCGGTCAGAATTCAAAGAGGGATTCCTTGGAAGTCTCGTATCTCGAAGTAGTTATAATCAGGGCACCCATATACGACCTTCATTCATTCAAAAGTAACCCAAGACGAAGAAAATGCTGAATCAACGGCTAAAAAATAAACCCCAAGAAGGCTGGAGGAGGGGTAATGCCGCCCCGGGCAGGTAAATTGGAGGGTCCTTGCACTTTGAGCTCAACTTTGGCCTGAGCCCGGCAGCCGAAGGGGTCGTGAGTGCGGGTGTACACTGAATATATATGTCTCATGAGCCATTTAAGCTCATTAAGGGCATCAATTTGGTAGAAAAGTCCCCTCTTCGGGGGGCGGGGGGTGGGAAAAAAGTGCCAGCCACTTGTGAGGCAAGTAAATTGTTAATTTTAAGCCACCCAACATATACATATATGCTCTCGTTTTTTTTTTTTTTGCAACTTGAGCAAATTTTGTGGCTTAGGGAACTCCGTTTTTGGGGTTTTTTTTATTGGCCGACCAGGTGACACGCCGATTTGCCTTACTTTCGGGCAATTAAATTCAATTTTTTGTGCGGGAATGACCCGAAATATAAAATATATAAAAATAAAATGATATGTATTGTACAAGGATATATGGTTTGATATGGATAAGTATATGGTGTTGCATGCAGGGCCAAGAATAAGAAATTGAAATCCATAAAGCGCAGCAGCCATAACAAACAAAAAAAAAAACAAAAAAGAAAGAAAAAGGAAAAATAAAAAGAAAGGAAAGAAAAGAAAAGAAAAACGCGAAATGAATTTCACTTGAAATGTGAAAACATAAAAATTGTTTATGACTTCCGCTACGTTGCCTGCATCTGTCTGCCATTGTCTGTCTGCTTGTGTTTTTTTTCTCAGTGTGTATGAGTGTGTGTGTTTGTGAAAGGACTTTTTGTGGGAGGAGCCAACCAGGGATAGCCAAAAAAAAAAAAAATAAAAATAAACTAAAAGACAAGAGTACTATATCAATTGTTCCAAAAAAAAAAGAATAATATTTTGGGTTTAAGATTGGGTCTTATTGGGAATTTCTTTTAAAGGAAATATTTAATAAAAATATTTAAATAAAACCTTTAAAGAACATCAAGAAACCTTACTTCCCTATATTGAACTAGTTATCCCTTTATAAGCTCAACTGATCATATGTGGTATCAGCTTTTAATCAACTGATTCCCTTTCGCCAAACAATAGAATCCTTGGAATGGAGTTTGCTATTGAATGCTTTGAATGGCAAGTGGCGGTGGCCAAACATTCATTCGAGCACTCACCTGTCCATCAGGTGGTATGCATTGCATGTTGCCCGGCATGTCCCCATCCCTACATCCCTACATCCCAGCAAGAGCCAGAACCCCCTTTTATTTCTCCTCCGAACGGAGTTCTTTCGGGTTTGTTCCGGCTTATTGCAATTTGCAGCGTTGAATGTTTCATTTAAGGTTCGCACAGCGGTTGGTCCTTCGACACACACAACACACAACCATCCACATACAACCATACCCCGCCCATCCATCCATTGCCACACACACATCCTCCCACACCAACAGCCCTTCGCCCTTTTTTCGACCCGTTCCTTGGCACACATGTCCTGGTCCAGTGGTCCAGTTTGTGGGGCTAGAGATGGCACAATTATCGATATAATTATGATAGAATCCATAGAGGTATTGGTTCTAGAAAAATATGGCGACCGTGACAAGACGTTGTATAAATTTATTTTTAATCATATTTAGCTTTCAAGTTGGAGTTTAGATTTGTAATATAAACATCTTAAGTCATATATCTTGTCTTTCTTTTTCTAAAAAATTATCCAAATTATAAAGCAAGTTCTCTTAAAACCACATGGCGACCGTGACAAAAGATAATTTTACTTTCTCAAAACAAACATCTCTAGTTATGGCCACCTCGCTTGGCGGTGCAATGTGGGTATTGCAATATGGAACGATGGGTGGCTTGGCTATGGTCGCCTGGGTGGTGATGCGTTGTTGCCTGACGACGCGACAATGCCATACCCGTGCCACCAACATCACCACCACCACCACCTACTGCCTCGTTCGAGTTCCAGTTTGAGTTTGCAGCTACTGCTGCTGCTGCTGCTGCTGCTTTCAACCAAAAATAGCCGCATGCAATTGATTACAGCAAACGAATGAATGGAGGAGCAAACGGCTAACCGGAAAACAGAGGAAATTCTAGGAAGCTGGAGGGAGAAGGAGGATGAAGGAGGCAATGGGGCGCTTTAGCCCCCCGTTCAACATCATTCGATATTTGAATGGAGGATGCTGCGAATTAAAATCGAAATAATGCACATCAGCTTGTACTGGCTATGGCTGGCTTATGGCAAGGACTTGCAAGGATGCTTCAAGGATTTGCTTTCGTAGATACTCATCGAAAAGACCACATACTTTGTAGAATTTAAATGCCATTATGATTTAGTTTCTAGTGGAAAGTGTTAGAATAATGGTTTGTATAAGAATTTTTAAGATTGTGGCGACCGTGACTAAGACCCATCCCTTGCATAAATCTATCTATTTAGCGTATTTGTTTACCATTTCTGATCAATCTCATAAAAGATTTAAATAGGCTTATAGCTACATATGTTTAAAAAGCAGAAAAAAAGGTTAAAAAACAAGAGAAAAAGAAAAAATGATCAAAGAAATACAATAAAATGAAAAAAAAAATGATAAAAACGTAGCAACGGCAAACATAAATTAATCAGCTTTGCCATTTTCACAACAAATTGTTATTAATTCGCTCAGCCATAATTAAAATGTGAGCCAAGTGCCGATGAAAAGCCATACATACATGTATGTACGTGTGTATGCCATAGCCTGAGCTTGAGCCCGGAACCTGAGTGTGGGTAATGGCGTATATGTGTGAATGAGTGCCATTTTAAGCGATTGCAATTCAAAGCAATTCAATTCAGAGCCATAAAATGCGCCCCAAGACGATACGCGGGGGAGATGCCGATGCCAATGCCGATGCTGATGCCATAATGCCTTAATCGCTCGACGGAAGCGGAAGTCGTGCAAATGTATGAGTGTTATATATACACACACACATACTACAATATATATATATATATATATACTTAACCCAATGGCAGTCAGGGCATACAAATGTAATTAAGATCGATTATATGCCTTCCTGTATTCGCAACTTGAATCATTTAGAGCTCCACTCCACTCCTCTCCTCACACAACACCGCTTTAAAAATAATTAAATCAACTGGCAGCCACACGCCGTCACAGATTCCTCTTTTATTTTTATTAACTGGTTTGGATAAATTGTGTGTGTGTGGGTGTGTGTGGGTTTTTAGGGATTCATGAGCTTAAAAGTTGCATTTTTATTTCTGTTTTGTGTGTTGGAAGTGAGTTCATTAATGGCGAAAATGTACAAACATGTAGCCGGGAAAGTGTTGAACTGTAATTGGGTTTGGAGACCAACTAGTAGGCAGTGATGTTAATAAGGGTAGACATGGTCGTAGATTTTTTGAATAGTTTTTAATAAAGAAAGGACTATGGAGATAAGGATAAGGGGTATACATATGTCCTTTTCCTCTTTAAATTTTTATTTATTTTCCACTCTCTCTAAACCAAAATCAGTTGATTGTTTCGATTGTCAGCTATCCTGGCTTTATTCTCAAATGCTTAATGCCTTTCTCTCCCCATTTGCTCACGGTTTTTTTTTT